TCAGACAGCCCCGGAGTCGTGATTTTGGATTAGTCACTGTGAAACCGTTTTGAGGGGATTTAATTCAAAGCGAAGGTTCTGACACACTTACCTAGTAGAGCGTATACATGTACACCCACATGCACACTCACACAAAAACAAATAAACAGCAAGTTCAGATGAGAATGCGGGCGCTGGGTGCTAATCTGCGATTAGAGGTTCATGGTTTTGAAGTTAATACCCTGGTTTTCAAAGGATTTCTCTAGTTCATGCGTGCCAGAGTCTCCAGAGAGTATCCTAAACGGCCTCTACTCTACAGCCATACAAAACATCACAAGCACCTGGCATCACCACAGGCATCCTGTTTGCTCTAAAATGAAACCTGAGAACCTTATTTTACACTGTTGCATTTAGCGTTCACTTATCTTATTCAAGGTTTGACATGAGAAACCAAATCTCCCTTGATCTTTTGATGTAGAAGAGGTCTTTGTATGCTTAATACATCCAGCAGGTTTATAACTTAAAATGTCCTCATCATCAGTAAAAAAAGCATTTAAGTAATAACACTCAGAAAATGGCTCGTTTTGGATCTGAGGTGCCAGGTGATGTCACACGGGCACAGTCGTTTGCATAAACACTGCCTCCAGAGCAAGACATCGACACAGGCCCCACCCACTGGCGTTCAGTCGTCTTTGAAAATCGTGCAGTGCGAACTCGGCATAAATGATTTCATAATGTTTTATTTTGATCATGTTGTCAAAACACTCACATGCAATAGTGAGGGGGCAGGGCAATGATACCGTTTCTTATGCAAGGACGTTAGCCAATCATAACAGTGGCCAATTACTGACAAGCCTCAAAAGACACGCCCCTTAAAACAGGTCATTTTAGACAGAGGGTCAGAATGAGGGTTGAAAATAATCCTTTTTGCACATATGTATTTGTTGTTCCTTTTTTGGTGAAAAAAACTTTATTAACATTATAAGTAAACCTCAAGGCACATATTAAAATAATTTTAAAAATCCATGTCTTTAATCAAACTGTTTCTGGTTAAGAAAAATGATCAATGAAAATCCAGTTGACAAAGACATATTTCATTTATAGAAACATGTATCATTAATGAAAACATCTGTGGCATTGAAACCGTTGCTTCTTAATAGCACGACAGAATAAGAAATATGGGAAAACTGATGAGGAAAGTGACCAGAGCACAGGCGAAAAAGGAGGCCAACTGCTTTAATAATTGAACTCTTCATTAACAAAGCAATTATATTTTTCTTTCAGGCCAATTTGGAAGTGATCTGACATTATTGGCACTGAAATAGCGGTTCTCTTACCGGGTGGGAGTCTGTGGAGTTGGGATCGGCTCCAGGAATTTTCAGATGGAGACTCTGGAGATAATATGTGGTTTGCATCTGCAAGCGAAGACAACAGCACACATAAACATGCAGGCTGCACTCACTGCACTGGTACCAGCCTACTATGATCCATTTACCACTTGTAGAGACACTGTTGCAGAATATTGCTATTGATTAAAACTTGAAATAGGGCAGAGGTAGAAAATAACAAGAGGCAATATTTCAGCCAGTAAAAGCAGTTTGGTGCTTTGTGAGAACATTCTGCAATATCTATTCATGCAGAAAGTCATTAGGCATTTTTTTTTATAAAAGTTAGAGATGTCCTTTACTCTGACCTTAATTTAAGGCCCCGAGGACTAACAATGTCGGATAACCTTTCTAACAGTTGGCAAGCATCTCAGCAGAAAAAATATATGGGATGACAAGGCCTCAAAAGATGACCTTTCGCCATAATTGGAGGAAGAGAATCTTGTTTTCACGTGAGATGGACTACGAAACAATGATCCTTATCCCGACAGTCCCACAGCAATTTAACTTTACTACTAAAGCTGCATTTACTGCAGGAAATTACTCAATGCACCTTTAGAGAGAAGAATTTTACAGCATAAATATAAGGATTTTTTTACGTCACCACTGGTCAAGATCTGGAAAACAATTAGGGTGACCAGACATCCTGATAAAATTGGGACAAAATTGTGTCGATTTTATGAGTCACTGGTCCTGTTAGTCTTAGCTATAGTTTAATTGCTATGAATAAACTGTGATTTGTGCTCTTTCTATCATAACAAACCAGCAGCATATGTAGTTATTTGACTCATTAATACAACAGTAAGCAGTAAACAAAATGCATCTGTTGTTTTCGCCTTAGAATATTGAGCAGTAAGTTAAAAACATTCACATATGCATAATCGTGAAAATGGTGGAACAAGGAAATTACTTACTTTCAGCAAGTAATTTAATACAACAGCTCATAAAAAACAAACCTACTGTACTCAACTTCTGAAAAACCATTTCCAACTTTAAACATCAGCAGGAGATTCTTGCTAACCTTTTCTAGGCATTACATTTCAATACATTTGTTGAAGGTCAGTTTTGATTCAAACATTAGATCCATTACATCCACTTTCATACAAACTGTTTCTTTATTGTCAAACTGTTATGAATGAAAACACTAATTTAAACGCTTTAATGTCCATTAGATCAGACAAGCATCTTCCGATAATCTAAATGTGTTCTGTGGGGGAAGTAAGGTAAGAAAAATGGCTGGAAATTTCACTAAGGTGGTTGTAGAATGCAGAAATGAGAGAGGCAGACCTTGAAAATATTTGAACATGGAAATGTTGACAAACTGTATTTAAACATCTTCAAAACACGTTACGAGTGGTTTGACACACAACCTGTTTTTCTGTGGTAAGGTGACATAAATTCAGCGGTTACGGGCCCCACGCCGGCTGTTAAAAAGGAACACTGCTTTAGTAGTAGAGATGCCCCATTCTTTATTGCTTGTCCTTTTTTGCATTACCTTGAGCAAGGCACATATAAAGTTCTTCAAGGAAGCACCTGTCTGCTCAAGGGCTTTAAACCCACCCATCCCATAAAGGCTCCAAATGGCACAAACCCTTAATATGTCAAAGACAAAATCTCTGCTTATAACCATTCATCACTTGTATTTGACATGCTAACGACACCGTTCATCACCACCATGCCTCTCCTTCAGTATGAGACACCTTGAGACTTCAAGCTAATAAAACACCTATGCAATTTCCTATTCATCCTCTGTCACAACTACAGTAAATTACTGTAAGTTTAAAAATACATTCCCTGTATATTTCCCTATTTTTTAAGGACCTATAACTGACACAACAGATCTGAAAGGCGTAGTACTTGAGACACCCACTCATAAAAACCTTACCTGGAAATAGACAGTCCAGTACGGAATGAGTGCCAGGAAAACAGGAAGTATTTTAACCAACACTTTCACTTCCTCCACCTTCTCCTCTGAAAACCGCCCACCGTATGTCACCTTAGCACCATCTAATAGAGATGGCTTTGGCCTTGTGGGGGAAACAAAGATTTTAACAAGCATTCATTAAAACATCACTGAAATATCTGAGTACATCTGTGTTTGATAAATAAAGTAGAAAAGATAAAGAAAAGAGCAAGGATTTGACCAACTTAAAAAATAATAACGTCACGTATTTTCATGAAGCGCCTTTTCTTTGATTTAGAGAGAGGGCACGGCACTTGACAGTAACTTATGCCACAGAGACACGATGAATAGCACCGCAACATACGAAACAGACAGACAAGAGAGGTGGATGAAAGAGGAAGATGAGGGATAACATTACAGACTAATAGAGTCATCTGAATCTGGAGTGGAGGTTCCCATGAATGAACTGAGTAAATTTACAATCTAACACACTAAAACCATTTTACACAGTAGAGACTGTGTAAAGACTAATAGGCACATTTAGTTTTAAGTTTGAAAATACATGTTTATAATATAAAAAAAATTTATACTTTCTGAATATGCAACAACTGAAAAATCCATCTTAGTTCAAACAGGGTCAAGGTTAATTTCATATAGACTTTCTTATTCAGTAAAGTAAATGTAGCCCTCACCTGAGCAGACTTGGTTCTTTTGGCCCGCGTCCACAGAGGGCCGAGGTCAGGATCCGGAACAAGTCGCTGAAGGCACTGCCGTCTGCAGGTTTGGTTATAAATACCATTTTGCCCAGAACAAAGATGATGAGGGACACCCCGAGGCAGACGGCTGGGATGATGTAGCCAATAAAGAAGCTAACATTCTGCTGAATATAGGCTACTCCACCCAGCGAGAAGATCGCACCAAGATTAATGCACCAGTAGAACCAGTTAAAGAACCGCCGCGTTGCCTCTGGACCTCGATCCTTCACCTGTAAGGACATACATCACAAACACATGTGTGAACTTTAAGATCATCGATTCATTTTTATTCACTTGTTTTATTAGTTTTAAGTGCACTGGCTGAAAACTCTCCTTATTTTAATAATCAAATCACTTTTAAATCCATAATAACCAGGCCTATAACAAGTTCAGTATCAAACACAGGCAATAATAACAACATGAACATAATTTCCAGCTGGAAAAACATGGTAACTTTTTTTGACTTGCATGTGGTTACGGAGTACCATCAATAAGCACATCAACATTCAATACCCACAGTCTTCATTTAATTCAAGTACTGATTTGCAATTTACTAAATGCATTTACAAACTTGTGTGAAGTTTCTTCTCAAGTGCATGCACATGCTGTTCTAAAGAGATCTATAAAACATGCAGCTGTAGTCATACAATCAGAGATCGATCCACCAATTTTGGGAAAAGTGTCAATATACTGTAAATTGTAAGCCAATTTTCAGTTCATTGCCCCACTTCCTCAAAGTTTCAATGAGATCTATGCCCCACAATGACATCCAGATGGTACATCCTGCAGTTAATTTATTTATCGAATCTAAAAAACACATGACGATCATATGACAAGGCAACAAGTCAACAGACATCAACACTGGCCTATTCTAAGTCATCCACATTGCAATATAAGCCTCTGGTTTTATTTTCTTCCAAAAACTTGTTAAATAATCCAGTAGACCAGGTAACTGGGAAAACTGTCAAGCAGTCAGATAAACCAACAAAGACAGATGTCAGTTTTACTTCCTAAGTTGTTAGTTTCATTTTGCATGTTATGCGTAGGAGCATCGTTTAGAAGAGTCTAGGGTTTCTAATTAGTCATTTAGCAAATGCTTTCCTTATAGTTTGCTTATAACAGGGATATTCTCCACTGTACTGGGCTACTGTATAGTTTCTTGTCACTGAGAGGTCATGTAATCGGGTGAAAGTGGTTAATGAGTGCTAAAGCATGACAAATGGAAGGATTCTTTTTTTTGTACAAATATTTTTGCACATTGTAAGAAATGTTTTGTTGTGCTCGGTGTGAATCAATCTACATCACTGAATTTCTTCAGCATTTCATTCTCAACAATACAACATATTAAGTTTGCAGATAGCAATGACGTTCTTCTAACCAAATCTGAAAAACAGACCTAGACAGTGACCATAGAAGTCACTTCATCAAAAAGCCTAAGCATTTAGATCTTGTGACACAAGTCATTTTGTAGGCCACATGGCTAATTCAGACTCAAAGTACCTCAGAAATGTGTGGTATGTGCCTTGTCATTTAATAAGTGAAGTGAAAGTGCCCAGAGTTGTGTCCGAATTTAAGGAAGCCTCACATAAACGGCTGTTGCCAAGGGAACCACAATAGCACTTTCTGAAATGCAGAAGCCCATACTTAAGTAATAAGGCACTGATTCATAAGACTGAGTGTTTTAAATTCTCCATTTACTATTATTGCATTTGTTAATTTAAAGCTCCTTTTAAGACATGACAATGTTAGGTAAAATTAAACTTGAAGGATAACAGTCACTCTTAGTCACTCTTGTTTCACTCCAAACATGTATGCCTATCTTCTGTGTAACCCAAAAGGTTAATTTTATACTGAAAATGAATGAGGAATAAGAGTGTGAAGTGAATGTGAAATGGATTATAAAAGTGGTCCATATGACTTGTGAGCTATATTCAGTTTATGAACCCTATCTCTCATAGGTGCATTCATGAGAGACACAGCAATGTCTGATTTGTGCTATTTTTTTTTTCCATTTTGCATCTTTTCACAATAAATTTACAAATAGAATGTTTACAAATCCATGTTCCACTCTCCACTGCAATTCATAGCATAACAGTTTATAGCCCGACTTGCAAGGAAGATTATCAGTAGGATTATACATTTTGTTGCACAAAGCTATAACATGCATCCAGAATGACTTAGAATATGTTGTATGTTGACTTTTACAATACTTTTGCTTCCTTCTCGGAATATGGCGTGTTTACTTTTATGATACTTTTGCATCCTTTTTGAAGTTTAAAATGACCAGCCCCCAAAGTAAGTGGACAGCGCAAACAGCACTTTACTCAAAACTTCTTCTTTTGTGTTCCTAAACAAAAAGTGAGAAAACCAATACCAAGTCACAAAAAACAAGTCACAATAAACTCTCTAAACTACAAAAGCAGTGACTCATCGTATCTACAGACAGCACCAGCCAGGGTTTACCTAAAGCATCCGAAAGAACAAACGCCAGCAAGCATGTCAAAGGTCTTAATATCATTTAGAGTTTCATAAAAGCCAGACATAGTAGAAAATACTGCTCTGAGAATCAATCCAAGGTTGTGACCTCTGAGATTTGAACCTACTCAAAGTTTAGACAACTTTTCAGTTGTAGTGAATTATGTTATCTCAGGGGTTTCAATCTTTTAGATGCCACAGAAAGAAAAAAAAATCTGCTATATATTTAAATGTATAAAGAAAATTATAAATAAGCATAAAATATTATTTTGAAAATATTTATTTCTTTAAAGTTACATTATGTTTTTTAGACTCACCAGAGTACTGTACTGTTAGATGTATTATTTACATCAATTTTTAAAATTGATTTATTTTATCCAAATTATATATGAACAGTTACTTTGTTTCGTTTTTTAAATTCATTTTCTTTAATTCATTTATTTTTACACTGTTTTTATCTAAACTTCTCAACGGACCCAGAGCACTCCCTTCCTAACACTTCCCCAGACCCCATTTTGAAAACCCCTGCATTACCTGATCTGCCCCGAATGGAGTGATGTTTGATTTCACAGCTCCCACGCCAACGGCCACCAGCACCAGACCGCTGAATATCGCAGGCCCACAGTAGGGCGGCCGATTCATGCAGGTCACATTGGCGGGCACAGTTCCATTTTCAGGAAAACACTCTGCCGGCTGCACTGGGAACGCCATCTCTTCTCCACATAGAGAGGTCCTGGTGTTGTCGTTGGACACAAAGGGAAAAAGCAGCATCCCGAACAGGTACAGAACTAAACTCAAGGCTATGGTTGCAAACTTGCCAAGGAACGCATCCGCCAGCCAGCCACCAAAAGGCGATATCAAATAAGTGACTCCCATGAAGATCAAGGGGGCCTGGCTGGCCGAAGTGCCCTCCCAATAGAAGGGGCTGCTGTTGAGGAAGAGCACCAGGTTCGAGGTGATGCCATAGAAGGCCATCCTCTCTAAAGACTCTGCCAGCAGTATGGCAGCACATGCCAGTCTCCTGCCATTGAACACTGACTCGGATCTGGTTGAAGCCACAGAGTTGTCCAAAAGAGGAGTGCTCTCGTTTACATCCCTGCCAGCCATGGCCTGATATGCTGTTTCTCAAGAGGTGGTCAGCTGACCAAAATCCAAACCTAGAACAACAACAAAACCACTGTCATTATATTAAAAGCACGTGATACCACAAAACTATACATGACCCAATAATGGGAATTCAGGAAATACACCACAACAGATTCCAAATAAAATACTGACACATGTATTTCTTAGCCTTATTGACTTATTTGTAGATTTCAACTGATAATAAAACAACATGAAAGGCCGCTGGCACGCTGTCAGCAACTTCTTTATTTTACTCAGTAAACAGACTAACAACAAACATTTCTAAACACATACCGTTCTTGAACACTTAGCACTGCTCTACATTTAGTTGTGTTCAGCCCGCGACGTGTTTACCAATGTCCTCGGGATACATGTTGTTAAAATATTAGTTTAAAATTCCTAAAAGTCTGACGGTATGGTTAGCTGTCGGCTCTGAAGGTAAACAGCAAGTCACAATACTACCGCGTGACACCCGGTTCACTCACAAGCGTCGAAGAGACGCGCCCACAGCGCATTCATCAGATACCAGTGTCATCTGGAGGCGCTTATCGTGTGCCAGTGAGGAGTTTCAGGTTTATCGTTTTGTATACAAAGTATATAAGTTAAGCGTCAATCAACTGGCAAGAAAGCTAAAGGCAACTACTGATTGGGTAAAGGAAATATAAAGCGTTTATTCTATTGGCTAGTCTTGCAGCCAATCAATTCTGCACATAAACTTCCTGGGTGCATGGTGCCTTTCCTGTCAAGTACATTTTAAATACGGCTAGTTGGTTATTCCACTGATGTAATAGAGAATATATAGTTCAGGGGGGTTAATTAATTTTGTGCAAATACCACTGAGGAAAAATTAGCATCTCTGGTATTGTTGTTAAGAACTTTAAGAGCATTTTATCAGTATTATTCCAGGAGGTTTTATACATAATTGTATATATTCTTATGTTATGGGCATTGTCCACATTTATTATGAATCTAATTTAAATAGATTAATAATTTATTTATTTATTTATTAACCATTTTTTATCAATGTCTTGTTTAGATTCACACCCTCTTTGTGATTAGTGGCCATTTGTTAAAACCTTTTTTAATAGTTTGAGCATACACCTTTTAGAAAGACCTATTTTTCCCTAAGGTGTTCACAGATAGATAGATAGATAGATAGATAGATAGATAGATAGATAGATAGATAGATAGATAGATAGATAGATAGATAGATAGATAGATAGATAGATTTATTACATTGTGACAAATGTATGCTTTGTATGATACTATATTCCTTGTAAATATCACAGAATACCATGTTGTAACAACACAGATTATTTGATTGTGTGACTAAAAATGTATTGTTAAATGGATTTAAATTTCCAGTTAGTTACAATAACAAATTTAATTTGCAAGTGTACTTAAATCTTTCATGTTTTGATCAAAAGTAAAAAAAATTTGAGTGTCAGTTATGTAGACTGACAGATCACTCGGATCTGCTAGAGCTGCTCGGCTTTAAACAGCTGACAGATTTTTAAGGATCAAGAGGTGAATAAAACTTTCACAACTTTAGCCTTCTTTCCTCATTCAGACCCATTAAAATGTATGAAATTCATGAACCCAATTTCAAACGGTCTGTACTCTAAGGAAGTGCCAGTGGCAATTTGCTGTGGCATGATAACACTTCGAAAGTCAGCATGTCCCTCATTCACAGCTCCTCTCTCTCATGAGACTGACTACAAGACTTGGGTTATGTGTTTGTTGTCACTTACTACTAAGCAAACTGCAATATATATCAATGGCAAAGAATATATACAGTGCCTTGCGAAAGTATGCATACCCCTTAATTTTTTCACATTTTGTTATGTTGTGGCCTTATGTTAAACTGATTAGTACTTTTTTCCACATCAATCTACACTCCATACACCATAATGGTAAAGCAAAACACTAAAATCTTTGCAAATTTATTAAAAATAAAAAACTTAAATCATTCCACTGCATAAGTATTCATCCCCTTATCTGGGACAGTTGAAATTTAGCTCTGGAGCATTCATATTGCTTGTAGATGTTACTACGAGTGAAGTTAACCTGTGGCACATTCAGTTGAATGGGTATGATTTGGAAAGGCACACAAATCTTAATAAAAGATTTAACAGCTGATAATGCATATCAGAGCAAAAACCAAGCCCTGAGGGCAAATGAACTGCCTGTTGAGCTCAAAAATAGGTCTGCGTCAAACCACACATCTGGGGAAGGGTTCAGAAAAATATTCTGCTTCATTGAAGGGTCACAGAAGCATGTAGTCTCTGTTACCCTTAATGAAAGATGTTTGAAACAACCAGGGGCCTCATTTATCAACAGTGTGTAAAAAAGGTTCTATTTTGTCCTTATATTTACACACATTCCTACATATAAGTACAAGTTGGTAGATCACACACTTTGAGTGAAACTGTGCTTACGCACTCATTACGCACACATCTGTTGATAAATGAGGGCCCAGGACTCTTCCTGGAGCTGGCCTCCTGGCCAAACTGAGCAACTGATGGTGAAGGGCTTTGGTTAGTGTGGTGACCAAAAACCAGATGGTCAGTCTAGTTGAGCTCCATGATCATATGTGGAGATAGGAGAAATCTAGAGAAGGACAAACTTCACTGCAACACTCCACTGATCTGGGCTTTATGGCGGTGTGGCAAGACTCAATCCTTCCTCAAGACACATGAAAACACACTTTTTCAGGGGGTGGAGCGGGAGTCAATGATGTTCAGGGGGCCTGGAATAATCTAATTACATGTATTTTATATTTGGAATTTGGTTAAGTAATCCAGATTGCATGTCATCAGCAGTATTACTGTTTTTTTAAATTGCATTTTTATCAAATAAATGCAGCCTTATTGCACTTTTAAAAATCTAGAAGATACATAAATAAAAACAATCCAAACTTTTGACTGTTAGCAAAAGGGACTTTGAAGTGATTGTATCAAATGTTGATACTGTGGTAATTTGATAAATAACATTGTAATACAAATGTAATTGCCATGTCAAGTTCTTTATATATTTATTTATTTTCTATATCTATCTATCTATCTATCTATCTATCTATCTATCTATCTATCTATCTATCTATCTATCTATCTATCTATCTATCTATCTATCTATCTTTTAGGCTATAATTAATATCTAACATTTCCATGGCTTGCTACACAATCCACACAGATCGTGTACACTCTTAATTATTAATATACACACTAATAGATGTGATTGGGTGTCACATTTGATCTTCTTTAATTTCGCACACTAGTTCCATGTTTCCGGAGGGTTTTTATTTGAAACGGACTAGTGCAAAAATAAACTCGTGTGTGTGTGCGTGTGTGTGTGTGTGTGTGTGTGTGTGTGTGTCCGGCAGGCTGGTCTCTGACGCGACAACATGAACAGAGTCAGGTCAGGAGAGTATTACTGTCTGTCTGCTGGCAAGCAAACTCTCACTACTGTTTATTAGCGTCAGCATTTTACCGTCACACGCTGAAATGCGCGTGCTCTTCCTAGCCCCAAACAGTCCCAAAACAGGAAACTGTACTACAGCCGAAAGAATAAGGTAACATTGCTGTTTGATTAGCGAAACCAGGAAGTACCAGTCCTCTGTTGATTCTCAAGTCAACGAAAGAGCTTATCCTAGTAGTATTAACCCTGTAAGGCGATCATTTTTCAACTGAAGCGATCTTAAATCAAAGTACTAGGCTATATGTCACGTATTGCACTGCATAATGCACATAATGTTTTCTTTTGGCGCTGTTGTTCAAATAAGTACCATGTTTTTGGACACGTACCATGGTAAAATCGTGGTATTCTTGGAGCTCAATACCATGGTATTACATCGCTGTGCTATGATACAGCCACAACATTTTTTGTAAGGGGTGTTATTAAAGAACAGCTCGGACTCCGAGCCAATTTATTACAGAGATGCTGATGTATACATGTGTGTGTTTGGGTTGCAGGAATCATATCGTGGCTGCAGGACATACTTGTGTACTGTGTGATACAAGAGAGTTCAGATCTGCCTCTGATGTATCGTCCCTGATGATGCAAGAGCCACGGTTCCAAGCTGCGCTGGCCATTCATCTTTTCAAAGGAGGCAGGCTTCTTTTAGGTGACACTCGAAAATACATGCATAGGCTATGTTGGTTTCACCATATTAGTGAGAGCATCTCGTAGATGTAATTGATTTTATACTGAGGTGGAGCACCACAGAGCCTAGCCTGCACACACGCATACTGTACATGCATCTATCTTGTCTCATTATTGTTACTTTTTACTATTGAGCTCTATCACACAATTTATGACTTTACTGGTGGTAGATAAAAGGCAAGTAGCTACTTGCACACTAAACAATACGTTTTATAGTAGTATTTTATTTAGGGGTGGCACACTGGTTGATACCATATTAGTTATCAGCCATTATTGTTTTATTTTATTTTTGGTATCGACTAATATTGGATATTTAATTGTCCATGCTCATTTCTGCCTACTTTAACATTTAGATTACCTTTGCCGTGATCTTACACACAGAAAGTAATACAGTGTACTAATAATTCTTGGCTTATCGATTTCAGTCATTTAACATGCACCCCTACAGTTTATTATTTTTTCAATTAATTAACAATGCCTTATATTTAGATGCATATTTGTAGCCAGTAAGTATTTGTATGTCATGACTGAAATTCCACATGTGCAAAAAAGTACCATGGTATTACTGTTTTTTGTACCATGCACCATATTATTTGAAATATTATGGCATATGAAGATGGTAATCATTTTATTATCATAGTATATACCAGAGTACCATGGTATTACCATCTGATTTTTCATCATATGATATATTGTCAGCTTCCTCTATTTGTGGTGTTAATTTAGAAAACTGACTGTTGACTGATAAATTGTGCATCCTTACTCACAGAATGTCTTGTTCAGATTGAAGGCTACTTCTCTCTCACCACCCTCAGATACAGCATTCTTGTGAGTCATTGCCCGAAATGTCCACTCTATGGATGACTACCTTCCCCTCTGGCAAGATAAACACACTGTTTCATGCCTCAAAGACTTTGCTCACTCGAAGGATTTAAAAGTTGAACTTCAGAGGAGGTGAATTAGTGAAATAAGGGATTTATGTCTTTGTTGTGAAATTTAATTTCTCTGCAGATGCTGGAGTGCCGTTTGGGGTGGTGTTTGGAGGGACGGATGTCAATGAGGACGTAAAAGATGAGCACAAGCGAGCTGTGATGGAAGAAGTTCTGCGCAAGGCCAGGTCAAATTTACTCTGTCTTTGATGAAAGTCGACGCATATCCTGTTTCTCTGCTCTAGTCAGAAATAATTAAAGGGGTCATATGATGCTATTTCAATTTTTCCTTTCTCTTTGGAGTGCTACAAGCTCTTGGTGCATAAAGAAGATCTGTAAAGTTGCAAAGACTAAAGTCTCAAATCCAAAGTGATATTCTT